CCGCCAGCCTGCGCATCACCCACCAGAGGTTGCCTGCGGCTGCTGTGCTCCTGCGGTGCAGCAGCAAAGGCCACGCTCCAGTCTCTGCCTGAACACTCATCCTATGTGTTCGAGTTTTGCTCCACACCTCAGCCAGACACCTTCTAGGAGCTGTGTGTCTGCCCCATTAGGGTGGCTGAATACTGCTGTAGAATGTGAGGAAAACTCCAGGACAGCCAACGCCAGTTGGGTCTGGAGCAGGTGGTGCTTGAAACCTCTGTGCCAGCTGGGCTGGAAGAACGGGATCTGGCCCCAGGGTCAGGGTCAGTTGCTGTCAGGGAGAGGGTTCGGGTGTGAGCCTGCATTCCTGAGCGCTGCGATGTGCCTCTCTCCCTGCAGAACGGATACACCCCCCTGCACATTGCGGCCAAGCAGAACCAGATGGAGGTGGCCAGCAGCTTGCTGCAGTATGGGGCTTCTGCGAACGCGGAGTCTGTGCAGGGCGTCACCCCCCTGCACCTGGCGTCCCAGGAGGGACACGCAGACATGGTGGCGCTGCTGTTCTCCAAACAAGCCAATGGCGACCTCGGCAACAAGGTAAGGTGTCCCGGTGTGTCCTGCCAGGCGGGGGGTGAACGCCCCAGCAGCGGACAGGGTGGGGGTCCAGGCCCTGGTGCCTGCCTGCATTCAGGCACCAGCGGTGCAGTGTGTGTCGATTTGCCAGGTTGGAGACCTGACCAAGAGTCTGCTGGTAGGGCTGCAGCGATGGCAGTGCCACCGCGCTGAGACCGCCTCTCGTTGCAGAGTGGCCTGACCCCCCTCCACCTCGTGGCCCAAGAGGGGCATGTGCTGGTTGCTGATGTTCTGGTGAAACATGGAGTCACAGTGGACGCAACAACCAGGGTAATGTAGTGCATTGACCATGGCCGTGGTGAAGAATGTGGGGGAACTGCCTCTAGACCCACTCCAGGAGGAGCGCTGTTTTTCTTTTCCTTTGTGCAAGTCCCTGTTCCCGCAGGCATCCTCACCATCTTGTCTGTGTCCTGGGTACTCATCCTCCCCTTCCCTCCACCTCCCTGGGGGGATGGCCTGTGGGGGGAGCGTGCTCCAGCAGAAGGGCAGAGAGCACTGCCGGGGGAGGCTGAGACCTGGTCTGTCTTTCAGATGGGCTACACCCCGCTGCATGTGGCCAGCCACTATGGGAACATCAAGCTGGTGAAGTTTTTGCTGCAGCAGCAGGCTGATGTCAATGCCAAGACTAAGGTACAGAGCTAAGGGCAAGGACTGGGTTCTGCTGAGCCCTTTGGTCACCCCAGAGAGGAGAGGTGACCCCACCCCAGACATGGAGCACAGCGTGGGGCCCGTGGGCAT